AACGTATCCCCGAAGCTTGGGAGCAACCGCTGCACAAGAGGGCTCCATGCCCTCGCGGCGGCAGAGCAATATCATCTGAAGATACGCAATGGTCACCAAGAAAAAGACATACATTCAGTTTGCTACTTTGAATTTCATGCACTGGTGGGTGCAATCATCAGACCAAATAGCTACATACCTATGTACATGCAGCTGCATGAGGGATGAGCTATCTAAATGTCTGTGGTGTCTCCTTTGCACCATGGCTGGTAGCTCGACTTGCCTTTAAAAAGCTCGTAGTCGTAGTGATGACGCCTTTATGGCCGAAACAGCTTGCTGTCTACAGCATTGGGTATCTAGCTGCATACAAATCTATGAGTATGCCCCAAGAGAAAAACTTAATATGCTCCCCAGAGTGTTAACAGGCGCGTGCACCGTATGAGTTTTTTGGTGTCTGGAAACCACCTTTTTTCGGGCAATCTTGCCAAAGGAAAAGCGTGCCTACTGGATTGGTTATCCTGCATACGCGTCGATCGACGGGCAGCTTACAGTACAGTGACTATGTCCTTATTTCGAAGTGAGAGAGAGTTGCTTTGCATGCAGTTCAAAATACATTATTCTCTCTTTCTTCAGTGGAGAGTAGCCACAGAGAGATCAATCTCTAGCTCTGGTTCGCTCCTGGATTGGCGATGACATTCAAGAAATCCGTTTTGTCTCGAAATTTGAGTCGAGCCTGCGCGATGCAAGTCAGTTCAAGGGTATGATTGACGATATCTCCTTCCAAACTGTTGACTCAAATCAAGATCTCCACAGCCTTTCGTTCTCGCTCATGTGCGCAGCAGAGATGTTCGTCAAAAACGTTGTCGACTGGAGAACGTAAAAATGTGCGTCCATGATCCACTTGCGCTGCTCCGGCCGCGAATCAAGGACGCGGGGCTTCGCTTTTCTTCCGCGAGCGTCCATCGAAACAAGGTCCATAACTCTTTATTGAAATCATGTGGAACATTGCCAATACATGCTGAAAACTTCGTCATAAGAACAGAAAGAAAAGATACGTCGAATGTAAGCAGTGTTTTGATGAAAAGAACAAGCCTGGAGTGGACTAGTGAAGTACCATAGACATAGTGTTATAGACTGTAGTGTAGCCTGGGCGGCTAGGCCTATCAAACTTTTACGTGTTCAATATGACAAACATGTATATGAGTACATTGACTTTTGCACCCTCTTTGCAAATACTTTTTCAAGTGCTGGTATGTAAAAGGTAACCCGTACCCATTTTATCCTGCTACCGGTTTATGTACCAACATTTCCATGCAACATCGTCCCCTCCCTCCATTTCTCATTCCTCCTATTTCTGTCCTTTCTACCCCTGGACCTGGTTCCCTCTCAGACGCGTTTGTGCCAGAATGATCTGATGATAGCAGTCGGAACCCCGTGTCTCATCAGCACCAGTGTTCATTGGTGCCCTGCACCCCTAATCTTGCGTCCCCCCCCCCCCTCCTCCCTAGCCCTCGCCGTTATCATGGTTATCTCCGACGGGATGTTGGAGGGATGCGCATGTGCACAAATACATAACTATATCTACAGAAAAAATTTCCAACTCTAGAAACCTCCCTTTCAAGACTCGGTGCACGCCACTGGTTAAACTCTGCGTATGGGGTCTCCGACGACGAAAACTCACATCACATGTTCCTGGCACGTTTCCTAATACAATGTAATAGGTCATGTATGTACAAAGAAGACTAGCATGGGTACAGTCCGGATATTTGCCATGATTATGTTTCTGACCCGTACGCTGAATGGATTTCTGTCAGTGAGTGCTATCTGGATAATTCCACGGCTCAGGCTAAAACGAGCGGAGAGAACTCACATCACGAGCACTACATCATCTCTTGTGAGTTTTCGTTTTGGGTTTTCGTCGTCAGCCGACCCCACAGAGTGGGCATCAGCATTTTCTAATGAACTCCTGTGTGTGTTTGTGCGTGCGCGATATCTGTGTCCTCTCCATTTATGTACTGATGTCACGCTGGTTTGACACCGTCTCGCTTTCTCAGCCTCGTGTAAGTTTTTCTGGCACTTATTAGAGTGGGTTTGCTTCAGTTCTGGTCATGACTCATGCAGAGAGGATTCATTGAATCTGACATTATTGCGATATGTTCATCACAGACATCAGCTGGAGCAGAGTGGAGGTGGTTTGATTTCAGATTGATCTGGGTGACCTGGATGTCTTTGTGATCATGGCCATGGACATTGGATGTCTTTGTGATCATGACCATGGACATTGGATGTCTTTGTGATCATGGCCATGGACATTGGATGTCTTTGTGATCATGGCCATGGACATTGGATGTCTTTGTGATCATGGCCATGGACATTGGATGTCTTTGTGATCATGGCCATGGACATTGGATGTCTTTGTGATCATGGCCATGGACATTGGATGTCTTTGTGATCATGGCCATGGACATTGGATGTCTTTGTGATCATGGCCATGGACATTGGATGTCTTTGTGATCATGGCCATGGACATTGGATGTCTTTGTGATCATGGCCATGGACATTGGATGTCTTTGTGATCATGGCCATGGACATTGGATGTCTTTGTGATCATGGCCATGGACATTGGATGTCTTTGTGATCATGGCCATGGACATTGGATGTCTTTGTGATCATGGCCATGGACATTGGATGTCTTTGTGATCATGGCCATGGACATTGGATGTCTTTGTGATCATGGCCATGGACATTGGATGTCTTTGTGATCATGGCCATGGACATTGGATGTCTTTGTGATCATGGCCATGGACATTGGATGTCTTTGTGATCATGGCCATGGACATTGGATGTCTTTGTGATCATGGCCATGGACATTGGATGTCTTTGTGATCATGGCCATGGACATTGGATGTCTTTGTGATCATGGCCATGGACATTGGATGTCTTTGTGATCATGGCCATGGACATTGGATGTCTTTGTGATCATGGCCATGGACATTGGATGTCTTTGTGATCATGGCCATGGACATTGGATGTCTTTGTGATCATGGCCATGGACATTGGATGTCTTTGTGATCATGGCCATGGACATTGGATGTCTTTGTGATCATGGCCATGGACATTGGATGTCTTTGTGATCATGGCCATGGACATTGGATGTCTTTGTGATCATGGCCATGGACATTGGATGTCTTTGTGATCATGGCCATGGACATTGGATGTCTTTGTGATCATGGCCATGGACATTGGATGTCTTTGTGATCATGGCCATGGACATTGGATGTCTTTGTGATCATGGCCATGGACATTGGATGTCTTTGTGATCATGGCCATGGACATTGGATGTCTTTGTGATCATGGCCATGGACATTGGATGTTTTACTCTATAGTTGTGTCCTTGTGTGTGTGTGTGTGTGTGTGTGTGTGTGTGTGTTTCGTGTTCGTGTGTGTGTGTGTGTTTCGTGTTCGTGTATGTATGCACATGCATGTGTGTGCTTGTGTGTGTGCACATGCACACATGTGTGTATGTATGTGTATGTGTGTATGTATGTATGTGTATGTGTGTATGTCTGTATGCTTATGCGTGCATGTATGTGTACGTGTATGTATGCTTGGGCGTGCATGTGTGAATGCACACATGTACTCACCTGCACACCGAAATCCCACTCTGCCGTGGCATCATCTACAGCTGGCCAAGGTACTTGTACGTGTGAATGTTGCAAAACTGCATGCTTCTGCCCGATCCTATGGTCGAATTTTAAGCCACAGACAGTATTCCTCAGTTGCATATGTTTGGTTCTGACGGTGGCTGACTGGTCTGATACGTTCATAATTATTTTAACATCACAATAAAATAATTTGTAATCCAGCGCATGCGCAGATTGTGAATAGCAACTGAATATAGTGGTTGTCAGTTGACAAACCTCCTTTTCTTACATTTGCTTAGGAGGGCAATCAAGTTCATTTTTTAAGTCACAACAACCTCTTCCTCACAATCTAGCTCATGCTTTCAGGATAAAATCCAGATGATCAGCGATTGTCGTCATTTTCTGCATGTGAAGGTGATGATCTCATGCAGATATTTTCACCCGTGTGCAGAATGTTCAGATTTGTATCCATGCACCGAGATTTGGGCTTTAGGCGCATTGGTTGTGTTCTGGGCGAGGGCCCAAGTGCCGTAGAATGTGCCATGTCTAAGTCGCCGGTAATTTGCTGTGTGCTCAATGTCAGCATTTCTATCTATTTTAAGTATGTGTCTGTCTGTCTGTCTGTCTGTCTGTCCGTCTTTCTTTCTGTCCGTCTTTCTTTCTCTTTCACTCTATGAATGTGTTTCGGCGTCATCACCGAATCTCGCACCATCCTGAAACAGCCATGGTTGCAAGTAAGTCATGCTTTTTTTTGCTGGATATTGGTTGTATAGATTCTTGGTTGGAGGACAGCAAATCAGCACACGAAGCACAGAAGCCATTATAGTTTCGACTAGGTCTTTTATACCATTGTATTGTATTCGACTTGAAAAGTAATGGTACGAAAGGCCTAGTCGAAACTATAATCTGTCCCTCCAGGAAATCGTGATTCCACGGATGCAACAAATTTCGCGATTTTGGCCAAAACCCGCAAATTTCTGAAAAGTCCCCGATTTCCCGCGTTTGTTGTTGTTTTCTGCACTTCTTTTTACATTTTTCTGCACTTTCACGCAATACAGTGCAGGGCATGCGCTAAGGATTAAATGAGGTCTGACACAATGTCCTGCCAGTTGCAAAAATGGCCGGACATGTCCGGACATGCAAATTTTCACCTCAAATCACACAATTTTCAGTTAAGAATTAATACCATCGAAATGTTATCGCGGCGTGAAAAGAGTAGTATTAAAATTGTTGTAGTTACTGTTTTACCACTGCAAGCTTTGGCTGCTGCTGCGTCGTCAAGTTTGCACAAGGCTCGAGCGATTGGCGCATACTCTATTGGGTTTCCGCTTGACTGCTCCTTGCCAAACAATGCTATGGCACGGCGATGCATTTCAGAAGCAGCATTATCTTTGAAGGCTGACGATTTCAGGTTCCTTTAGCCAACGACGAAGGAGTCAGAAAAAGTCATGCTGCTGCGAATTTTATCAACAAAACGGGAACACATCTTACATTTCAAATTTTCGACAACGCTACTATCTGAGGGACTGCGCTCATAGCTCAGCCAAACAGAAGTTGAAAGCTCCCTATCATACTCGGCGACCCACTTGTCACAACTAGTGGTCGTCTGGACTCCTCTGGGCTTCTTTCCAAGAGGAACACCCGCATCAGCGGTGCTTGGCTTACTCTTGCCAGACGACATCACTAATGACTAGTACTATGAGACAAAGGTGTGCCTTTTCTTTTTTGTACTTTGCAAAAGTGCGCGGACACTTTGTCCGGGTGTGTACAAAACATCCGGAAACTGACCGTAAACGGTCGGAGATTGTCCGATGTCCGACCGTTATTTCGCGCCCTGCAGTGCTTTCCATGATCCTGTACGTGGGTTATTTGCACAGTACGCAAATAGCGATTCTAATGATGCAACAAATTTCGTGGTTTGGCCCAAATTCGCAATTTCCTGCCAATAATTCCGCGAGTTCCTGGCAAGTTCCGCACTTTTCGCCGCGTTTTTGTTGTTTTCTGCCGCAATTTCTTGCGCAAGTTTTCGATGACTTTTTCCGCAAATTCCCGCAGGGACAGTATAATTATGGCTTCTGTGCTTCATGTGCTAATAATGGCTGTGCTGCCTTTCGTTTTTAGTTTCCAACACCGTAAATCTGATACCAACAAGATTTCCCCTCAAAACCAATGAATAATACAATGCCATAGTGTTTGTATTGACGGCCAAGGTTGTGTCCCTGAGCATTATCAGATTCTACCTATGTGTATCGTCTTTGAAACCATTAGGCGGCAAGTATAATTATTCCATCAGTTTGAGTCACGTCACACACCCGGATTAACTTTTTTCTACCGAGAGCGTGACCAGACATATCAATACACATGCCAGGCATGCACATTGCCGAAACATTGCGGCAATGTGCATGCCTGGAATGTGTGTTGATAATACGGAGCTTCTTGTATCGGCACACAATGTCCTCTATCTCTGTCTGTCTGTCTGTCTCACCTCCTCTTTCTGCAGACATCGCCATGGTGCTGCTGGGGGCAGTTGTGGCTCTCGTCATGTAAACCAGATGACAGTCAGCTCATGTTGGTGGCCATCTTTGTCGTGGGAACGGAATCCATCGTCTGGAGCAGCTATGAAGAAGGCCCTAATAAGGATTTCCAATTTTAGTATTATTTTCAATAGTTGCATATTCACACTCATTCGTTACGTGTTTTTCTCCCTTGCACCCTTTTCTCACCTTTTTTGTATGCTAGAGTCTCGCATCATCATTTATTATCATTGTTTCTGGATTTAGCTGTTCATCTTTATGCTTAGCCCTTTTGGCTGCCTTTCGTATGTAACCCCTTGTACTTGTTCCCCTTTCCTTCCCTGTACCTCACCTGAAGACAAGGCTGGAAGGTATACATGTGAATGTACCAGTAAAGGTCAAGATGTTGTTGGTGAAGGACCTGAAGTGTGTCTTCTTCCTTACTGTTTAAAAAAAGGATTTTTTCTCCCAGGAAGATTTTCTAAGAGAGCATTTCGGAGAATACCAGATAATGTGTGCAAGTGGATCTCTCCGATTTCGCACAAATTTGGTAGGTAGGTTTCCTTTGGGGTGTAGATCGACAGTGCCAAGCCCTTGAAAAGGTTTCTGAAGGGAACCTTGAAATTGGTATACCCCTCGAAAATGGTCGAAAACTCACTTGCAGAACGTGCCGCAGATTTTTAATGTTACTGCCGAGAATGCCGCAGAATAACCCCCCTTTTCCACGCGAATTTGGAATTTAGATATCTTGCATGCGTTTTTCCAAAGCGACACGTTTTCATTTGCATTGCTAGCAGCAGACTCCGACATTGGTGCATCTCTCTCCCCCCCCCCCCCCCCCGGGAAGATGCTTTTGGAAGGTTGGGCCCAGGTATCCAGTATTCAATTGCTCCAAAAACTACACCATTCCCTCAAATAGTGAACATGTACCCGCATGCAGAGCACGTGAGGCTTTCTGTACGTCTCTAATTGCATCACTAGTTGAAAGTCATGCTACGAGATCAGTCCGAGTCATTATAGGATAACATAATCAATGGCTCAGAGATCATAATTCATAAACTAATAAGCAAGGTCCTGTGCACAGCACACATCACATTGTACACAGAGAACATTGTGCACAGAGAGCAGAGGACATTGCACACAGAACACAGCCATGTGCCAAACTTCATGACACTGTGAAATCAAAATCAGTTACCGGTACCCTAATAAAAAAACTAGAATTCACACACGCACGCGCGCACTCACACACACACATGCACACACGTGCACTCACACACACTCACACACACACATGCACACACACACACACACACACACACACACACACACACATGCACACACACACACGCACACGCACACACTTGCACTTTGGACGCCCATCGCTAGTGCGATGATAGCGTGCGGGCTGAGCAATATGGGGAGTGACGCTTCAAGTCACCCACCCGGCGAAATGTTCGTCCACCCGTGCATACACATACACACACGTGCACACACACGTGCACACACACGTGCACACACACGTGCACACACACGTGTACACACACACATACTAACACAAAAGAAGACATACCCGCACACACTTGGGCATGTGCACATTCACCCCAAAAGAGTGCATGTTCACCACTGGCCTAAAACAAACTCCTCGCTAACGTTAGGTGATGAGAGCGATGGCGCTCAGCGTGTCATGTGACACACCGTGAAAACGGTTGCAGCAGGAGGTAGTACGCGTGAACGTTCTCGGCCGATGTTTCGCTCCACCTGCATACCTGGACATATACAACACCACAGCACCAGTGTGTCACTCTAGTTGCATACCTCTAAATATACAACCCCACAGCATGCATTGCTTTCAAGGTCGGTGAGTTATTACATGGCGAACAAACTTGGAAGTGCCATATCGTCTAGAGTATATGAAGCAGCACCGAGTTTTTGTTGTCGCGAAATACAGACGTTTACTGGCCCTGTTTTCACGGTTAATTCGGCCATTGTAGTAACAGTTATAAGCTACATCGAACATGCTTGAGTGAATTACTGGTGCTTACAAAGTGCGCCTTATACTGTATACTAAAATTGGAAAAGCCAGTGTGGGTTACGCAATATTGTGGGGGAGGGAGAGGAGGAGGGAGAGAGAGAGAGAGGGAGAGAATAGATAGATAGATAGATAGAGATAGATAGAGAGAGAGAGACAAGGAGAGAGAGAGAGAGAGAGAGAGAGAGAGAGAGAGAGAGAGAGAGAGAGAGAGAGAGAGAGAGAGAGAGAGAGAGAGAGAGAGAGAGAGAGAGAGAGAGAGAGAGAGAAGAGAAAGAGAGAGAGAGAGAGAGAGAGAGAGAGAGAGAGAGAGAGAGAGAGAGAGAGAGAGAGAGAGAGAGAGAGACAGACAGAGAGAGACAGAGAGAGAGAGAGACAGACACAGAGAGAGAGAGACAGAGAGAGAGAGAGAGAGAGAGAGAGAGAGAGAGAAGAGGGGGGGGGGGAGAGATAGAGATAGAGATAGAGAGAGAGAGAGAGAGAGAGAGAGAGAGAGAAGGGCGAGAGAGAGAGTAAGTTACATTTATAAAGACAGGTAAGTCTAACAAATGAGGACTGAGACCTCTACAACAGGGTTTTTACGCCTGAAAGCAGGTGCATGATTTAACAAGCAGGTTGTCAGTCTAGATTTTATGCGCAGATGGAGAAAAAGCGCAGAATTTTTGTAATGAGATGAAAAGCAGAACTAATAAGAAATAATAAGAAAAGATGAAATGAAAGCCTGCTCACAACCCGCCCCAGCCTTGCGAACTGGGTATGGTGGATTAAGAACCCGGTTCAACGCTCGAGCAGCGCTCTCCACTCAAGGTGTTCACAGCAACTGATAGGAACTCATATGGGGAAATTATAGAAAAGAAATAATAAGATAAAGAGAATAAATTTCAACGCACCTCAATAAGCGGAGCCCCACATACAGTACCTCAGAAAAGTGGATCTTCCGACCAGTGTTTTTGTTGACGTCGCAACCAGATGATGTAGCTGCTTCGCAGAGACGTCTTACTGCACAAATTACAAATAAATTTTATTCTTCGATTAGAAAACCCAAGCGCTTTCAGAGCCCTCCGAAGAGAGTCCGGGATGAAACCACGCACACTACCTCAACCGAAAAAGAAACGACCTGCCACCCGTTTGCTCGGCATTGATCGGCCAGATCCGCATACCGCCTGTCCTTCCGCGAGTTACTGACACTGAATCTGTCCTCAGCACAAACTGTCAACCTCCATCCAGAATACAATCCTACGACTCGTAGAGTACAGAACTATATCTGGTCTTAGGGTGGTAAGTGCAACACAGCTAGGGAAAGAAATCTTTGCACTAACTGAGTCGACAAGAAGTTTCCAGTCTGAGGCCGCTGACAGGAGATCAGTCGTAACCAACTTTCGTCTGGGCTGAACGCGAACTGGCTTCTCTCCCGCCTTGCAAAACGAGATGAAGTCAAGCTCATTTGAATTTCGGTTTGTACGGTGTTTGCAGCAGTGCGGATTCGAATCTCCTCACGCATGTTCCTGACGATGACCCCGAGTACGTTGTCGTGGCCTCCAGGTGTAACGTCCCTGGTCCAGCGCTACGCGACAAGCGCCAAGCACGTGGCGCGTAGTACAGGCCCAGGCACGGCACAAACTACAGTACGGATCCACTACGGTGTTTCCCCAACGGCGTAGGTTCATCGGAGAAGGTAGCACAACGAGGGTTGATGCGAGAAGAAATTTCAAATCCTTACCAGTTCCACCGTACAAAGGGATTTCGAGAGAGAGAGAGAGAGAGAGAGAGAGAGAGAGAGAGAGAGAGAGAGAGAGAGAGCAAGTTACATTTATAAGACAGGTAAGTCTAACAAATGAGGACTGGGACCTCTACAACAGGGTTTTTACGCCTGAAAGCAGGTGCATGATTTAACAAGCAGGTTGTCAGTCTAGATTTTATGCGCAGATGGAGAAAAATGCGGAGATATTTTTGTAATGAGATGAAGAGCAGAAATAATAAGAAAAGATGAAATGAAAGCCTGCTCCCAACCACAACGAAAGAGAGAGAGAGAGACAGAGAGACAGAGAGAGAGAGAGGGGGGGGGGGGGTAGCCTGAAGAGTATGGTATAAGCTCACCGTGCATTGCCAAATATGGATCATATGAGTTATGCATGTGAGTACGCTGGGATCAGCAATGCACTGCTCAACACCCCACACAACCATAGATCACCAACGCACTGTTCAATAGCCTATGCGACAATACTCAGGTGGCTGAGCGGGTGTTGGCGGTACAAATTACGTCATTGCGCAATGGGCCTATTACCTGCACGGTCATAGTCCGTCAGTTGTCCACTGGACAGGTGATTATCTGAAGACAGCAGCAAGTATGGCTGGAATGAGAGAGAGTCCGCTAGCAAACCTTACTGCCAAACCCTGGTGAGCACGTCGGGACAGAAAGCAAAAACATGCGCGCACACACCCACCCACCCACATGTTCATGCACGTGTGTGTGCATACACACGTACACACGTTCACACACACACACACACACCAACACACACACATGCACTCGCACATGCACACACACACACACACACACACACACACACACACACACACACACACATCCACCCACCCACACACACACACCATGTACCGTGTACAATGCATAGGCCTGTCGAAAGAGAAGCATGCAAATCTGCAAATGCACTGGATGTGCACCCACAGATTTTCTCTTATAGCAACGCCAGTGGACAAGATCTGAATGAAACAGATCAAGACTACCGCCAGATAACTGTCAAATCCACACAACTGCCGAAACCATGTTAATCCCCACACACACTTACACACACTTAAACACACACACACACACACACACACACACGTGCACACACACACACAAACAAACACCCCCTCCCGCTCACACACACACACACACACACACACACACACACACAAATGCCCCCTCCTCCCCCCCCCCCCTCCCGCTCACACACAAGCACGCACACAAATTAATGTGCCCAAGCACACGCATGCAGACACACGCAGCACAATTGCAGATACGAGACCACATACATGTACTTTAGACAGCACACTTCAGCTTACCACTGCTGGGAGTTGCTGTACGCCATAACACGGTCACCATCCGCCATCGGAACAGACGTGTGCAGAGCATCCATACATTCGTATGAAAAGCCGTGTGCAGGAGTACATATACCCAGACACACACATGAACGCACGCATACACACACACACACTCACACAGACACACACAGACAGTCATCAGAACAAGATTTCATTTCCACTTTTACACCTACACTTGAGATGTGGCTGGTTGACAACACACCACATTATATCATGTACACTGTCCTAGCTATCACTACAGCCAAGAGTCCACAAACCCAAGAGTGGACAACTCTGTACATGGGATCCACACGGCGGAATTACAACATTACGTCAAAACTGACGTACACGTTCGTTGCGCTTGTACTACTCCCTGGTTCCAAGCACCGCGGAATGCGGAGTTTTGTACAGCTGTGCCTGAGCGGCACGACGTAATGTTGGAATTCCGCCGCGCAGTGGACCTACAGCAGCCAGACCCCAGTTGCACACTCTTGGTATTATGGACTCTTGTTATAACCAAGAGTTCACAAACAAGAGTATGCAACTGTGATCTCTTTTCTATGGGACAGATGTGCGGCGCGCTGCCTTCATTACATCATTCAGCTGAAGTCCGCGCACTGCGGAAAAGCAAACACCGCACTTTCCCTCTGGTTTGAAATGAACTTTCCTACGGAACTGGGGTTCAAACGCCAAAATTTGGAGAATGCGTAGGTACTGGACTGGAAAGAATCGAGGAAAAGCGGATGGGCTCGTACGATAAACGGTGGGTTTGAGTGCATGCTTTCAGAGCGTGATGAAGGCAAGTTGCGAGACGAAGGCAGCGCGTCACGCACTGACCCATAACCACAGTTGCACACTCTTGTTTATGCACTCTTTGTATCACCCTCTGCACCGCATCGCTGTAGCTCAATCTGCGGGCAGAGCTGTTTCGGCTTATACACACTCTGCAGAGTAAAGGAGACCACATATTTCTGAAGAAGATAGAATGACAGGAAGAAAGTGACAGGCAGACAGACGGCTTGAAAGAGACACAAAGAAGGAGAGAGAGGAAGAGAAGAGGAGAGAAGAATATCGGATTCCAAGACTTACGCGTTGTTGGAGGAGCTGAACAGAAAACGGTGCAGAATACAACAAAATACAACACAAAACCTTATCAGCTTCATTGGAAAGGAGACAAGGGCGGGATCTCAATAAGTTGTTCAAAGAAATGCCTTGTGCAACACCAACATCGATCACACTAGGGTTGAAGTTACTTGTAGTAGAATTTTCAGTGTGAACGAGATTCCCTTCAGTACCGAGTGAACGAAAGAACCTGTTTTAGCCATTCCCCTGTGTTTGGAATGGATGGTGACTTTACTCAGCTTCAATGTAATGTGCATTGACCCCTGCATCCTGGCCAAGCAGTCATCAATGTACACAGATGAATCAGCATTGGATACGTAATTTCCAAGAGAAACTATTTGCTTGCACTGGCGCCTGCAATAGGTAGGCGGGGAGCGAAACTGACTTGATTTCAAGTTCCTGTCACCCGCATGCGCACGTAGTGTGTGTGTGTGTGTGCGTGTGTGTGTCCGCGCGTGCGTGCGCGCGTGTGCTTGTGTATGCACGCGTGTGTTTCAGGCGCACATGTGTGTACTATCCTAGAGGCTACATCACTATGGCGTGTAGTATTATGAGTTTGGCACTGGTCTGATTCAAAAGACACTAGGATCGGGAAGAGGGAAAGGCAAGGGTTTGAACTTTCCGGTCAAACGAACACGGACAAACGAATCAAACACCCCTGAATGGAGAGTAGGAGAGAGGGGAGAGGTCATTGGAGGTGCAGCGTGCACATTTTTCCCAATATAGGGACACAATAGAGAGAGAGAAAGAGAGAGAGAGAGAGAGAGAGAGAAAAGAGAGAGAGAAAGAGAGAGAGAGAGAGAGAGAGAGAAAGAGAGAGAGAGAGAGAGAGAAGAGAGAGAGAGAGAGAGAGAGAGAGAGAGAGAGAGAGAGAGAGAGAGAGAGAGAGAGAAGAGAGAGAGAAGAGAGAGAGAGAGAGAGAGAGAGAGAGAGAGAGAGAGAGAGAGAGAGAGAGAGAGAGAGAGAGAGAGAGAGAGAGAGAGAGAGAGAGAGAGAGAGAGAGAGAGAGAGAGAGAGAGAGAGAAGAGAGAGAGAGAGAGAGAGAGAGAGAGAGAGAGAGAGAGAGAGAGAGAGAGAGAGAGAGAGAGAGAGAGAGAGAGAGAGAGAGAGAGAGAGAGAGAATGGAAGCTGTGTCACAACTCTACCAAGATAGGGAAGATGATGTAGAATCTTACCATTGATGCAAAATGGATCAGTTGCAACAGAACACGAATACCCTGCAGGACAGATTAGAAGAGCCATCATACTAGTAATCATAGTAAGCAAAAATGAGATGTTTTAAAAGAATTCCCATGACACAGCAAATACATACTGAGGTGGTGGTTGTGGTGAATGAACACCACGGCCCCACTATTATGGGTTACACATAGGTGGCACATGGCAGGCAGCACAGCCGTAGTGTACATTCGTGTTCTGCAGATAGTTTATTCGTGATCTTTTTAATTCTTTGATTTAATGTTTTTGTTGCAAGTCAGGTCGACACCAAGTAAACGCAGGGGGGGGGGGGGGGCGTGTGTGCATGTGTATGTAGGTGTTTGTATGTTTGTATTATTGTGTGTGTGGGGGGGGGGGGGGTTCCATGCACGTTGAGTACTGAGTATGAGCGTGATAAACAGGGCAAGCACAACTTGCCACACCGTGCCACACCATGCCACACCTTGCTGCACCATGACCTGTCACTGCACATTACCTGGATGGCTGATATTGATCACGACATCCGGCGGTAGACCGGGCATGAAGACACAATTCGGGTCACCGACTTCATCAGCATTGCTTATGCCGTCGCCGTCGCTGTCCATTTCGCAGATCGTCAAGTTCCACTCGGCTCCGTTTGCGACGAAGTCCCTGCCGAATGGATTACCTGGCAGCATTGGAAACACCAGGCAGGAAGGATTGTTTTACAAGATAGCCACAAACCATCATGGTGCAAACGCCAGCAAGAGATAGCAGAGAGGCAGATAACGCTGGTAGCCGAAAGCATTGGAGGCGGGGCAGAAGCAGCTAACCCGACCTAGGGTCTCGGTAACAACGCCGCTCACGCACGTCAAACAGAAAAAAATGCTAAATGAAAAGAAAATGCCACGCGGCACGAGTCACCGAGCAAGTCATGACACAGTACGGTGAGACCTGTGTTTGCCGGACCCTGTAACAAGCGGAATCCTGCGTTAAACGGGACAAGTTTCCATGCACCGACGTGCTGTGGATTGGATTTGCATCCCTCGTCCCTGGATCAGGCGGAATCCCATCATACGAGGACAGTTTCCTCTGCACCGAGGGCGACCGGTTAGGGCAGGTGCTACTGTACATGTACAGCACAGTACAGTACTGCTACCGTTGATTGAGAAATTTAACTCACTCTCTCGATGCGTTGGTATCTCGCTCTAAGGAAGTACAGTACATGTACATTTAGAAAACACTGTCTGTGGTGATGACAAAAATCACGGTTTGCGTCAGACTTGGCTGTGGGCCGCGTTTTCCGCATCCGTAGGAACGCCACCACCCGCAAAGATCCTTGCGGCGATCCTGATGAATGACACTGTGCAGTGCCCGGCTCTTGATATCAGAAAATGCACTCGTTAACTTATCTCGTAGCAACGATATGGCCCAGACTGCAGTGCTGAACTTGTGATCTCATACATGTGTGTAGCTCACATGGGGCACGGGGGCATGTGCACCCCCCCCCCCCCACTTAAAATTTTCGACCTAGGTTCAGCATGCAGATAATGACCATGAATGACATGCACCAGCCATCCTACACATATGTGGCCGTGCACCCCCCCCCCCCCCTTGAAAGGGGAACCAGCTACGTCCCTGCAATCATATCTAAAAAAATGGCCTAAAAGCCTTGGGAAAATAACGTTATCATCATGGTGATACCAAGAGTACATAACCCCCAGAGTGTGCAACGCCACATAAATGTCTGTCACGACTCGTTTTCAACATTACCTCATTTTCATGTAGCTGCGCGTGCAGGCCGCGACATTCGCTACATGAAAATGACGTAATGTTGAAAACGAGTCGTGACAAGACCCTATCGCGCGTTACACACTCTGGGGGTTATGGACTCTTGGTGAGACTGATGTACCAAACTGTGCAACACCGGTTCGGGTATCTGACATTTTACTCGTTCTCTCCTAGAAGCGATATGGCTCGGTGCTGCACGTATTGTACTCATCGGCCTAAATAAAAAAGTCTCTAGTGCAGTGGCTCTGTTATCTGACATTTGAATGCTACTCTCCTAGCAGCGATACGGCTCTGTGATGAACTTGTGCTTAGGGGATACTCCATACATTATACTGTTATCAGCCTGCACCCAAATGTTGGCGTTCAACATACCTCCGCCTGATGGTGGTCCGTCACACTGTCCCACATGACCAACAGACCTACAATACCTGCACACGATGGGCAGGTCACACGCAATGGAATGCACACACACACAGGCACACAGGCACACACATACACACACACACACATGCACACACACACACACCATATAAACAGACACACACAAACAAACATACAGGCGTACAAATACGCACACAAACACACACATATATACACACAAACACACACACACACACACACACAAACTGGCACAGACACAGGCATGCAAACATACTCACACAGACACACATACAAACACACAGATGCACAAACATACACACGCACAGACAGACACACACTCATACACACGCACACACACACGCACACACATACACACACACACACACACACACACACACACACACACACACACACATAAACACACACACACACACACACACACACACACACACATAAACAAACACAGATGTTAGCGCAGGGCAGATGCCACCAGATGACTGCTCCTTGGCAGACTTTCACCTCATATTGCATCCTGATCAGAGCAATCTGCTGAAACGTCGAAAATGATAATTATCGTGAAATGAGTAGTGAATGTTCAGTGTCCAGGGAAAGAGCATGTGTGCTCACCACTTGTCTAGAACTAAATTCGAAAGGAATACAGTGACCACACTCACACCACGACACCAATGGAACAATATCTGATTTCTGATGATAATCGCATGAAAACGACGTTCAAATCCTTCAATATTGTCTGGGCACCTGATTTCACATATTGGTCATGTGATTAGTCACCTTGGTCATGTGATTAGTCATCTTGGTCATGTGACCACCTGGTCATCTTGGTCATGTGACCACCTGGTCATGATTAGTCATGTGATTAGTCATCTTGGTCATGTGACCAGATTTGTGTAGAAGGTGATCATGGCATGTGGACAGTTGAACCTACGTGACCGACATCATACCACCCAGGGATGCAATTGTGGACTGAAATCGGTACCAACACGGCTGTGCCGTACGGTGGTCATGAGACAGAAGTGCAACATTTGTCACATGACACATCACAATGTACGGTCAGGTATACTGTACTATACACATCATGGACAGTGTTTAAAGTTGCCATGGTGACAGACACCCTACAGTCTCAAACCCCAGGTGTCCGGAAACGAGAGGGGTGGGTGTCTGTGTTGAGTTGCTTGGAACATTACTAGTATCTGCCCCCGCCCCCCCCCCCCCCCAAAGTAGGAATCACTGTTCACTCAAAGCACCGGCAAGAGTTCGTACACAAGAGTTTGCAACTACGATTATGGATCCGTGCGCTGTTTGTGGCCTTCATTACGCCCTACACTCATGTGCTCAAGCCCACAATCTCTCGTACCTGCACACCCGGTTTTGCTTGATCTGTTCCAGTACAGACAAGCATTCTAAATTGTCCGCGTGCATGGAAGCTGGCTTCAAACCAAAGGGGAAAACATGCTGTTTGATGTTTCCGCAGTGCCTGGGTGTAGCTGCATGAAAACATGTAATAGCCTTTTCACACGACGGGAGAATGTCACGGATTCTCGGCCTCGCGACAGGATCACCAGGGTGATCATCGATTTATTTTGAAATCTGAGTCGTAGGCCCGTAGCTCGCGGGATCGTAGCCTGCAACTCCCTGACCCCCCCCCCCCCTGGCTGTGCGTTTTCGATTTCGGTTTCGCGTTTCATGAACTGGCTTGTATGCGCTGTGTCTGCAATTCACGAACTGGCTTGCACAATCGTGCACTTTGTTGCATGCGCTGTGTCTGCAGAGATAGTCGTCGAGTGAAGCGTCTTGCCGCCTATCGTAGACCCATTGCATCGTGCAATCGTGAGCACGAACCGTCGTGTGATAAGGCTATCATGAAGCCAGCATGCTGTCAGTCTGGCCCGTAGAAAGGAGATCACAGTGGCATACTCTTGATCATGGACTCTTCCCACCACTGCTATTTTTATACATGTAATGTTATTTTCATTTTTATTTCGCCATGGCCACAGGAATTGCTGCCTTCCGGCTGTGGATCACGAAGGATGCCAGTAGCTAATCTAGTAAGTAGTTACGTCATGTACATGAACGTCAGTCAACTACTGCATTGTTTTCAAGTCCAAACAGTTGACAGCGCTCGGAGAAGACCTCCTGTGGGGATGCGAGTGCGCGGACGTTATCAACTACATCGTACATTGTACATAGTCATTCAACGCCGTCCCAAATGCGTGGACTTACCTGTCCGCTTGGCCGAAAGGCGCTGGGATGTTCGACATCAGCATTATAGGCCCAGTGCTGTCACCAGCATTAGGAATGCGTCGCTGGTAGATTTGATGCCCGCTGGTCCAGCAGGTACACACAGCAGCCAGCACAATGAGCCCTACTTGGACTCGCATTTTATTTCTCCCCATTGCGATCATCACAGCGATCGCCCTCTAGCTCTCTCCACTTGGACAAACGACTATTATTACTTTCAGGGGATTTTAGCATTCAGCGAACACCTACAAAACTTCAAAAGTAGATTCTTTAGCTCCAGATTGCCTCGCCTATCGTCTGCATTCTAAAAAAATTATTGTTTCAATCGGTACAGCTACGTTAGCTACAGTGTAACCTCGGCACGTACATGTAGCTCTACGACAACTGCCGTAGCGCTACTAGTAGTACTAGTAGCACTGGATCATGTCACTGTCAGTCAGCGCGCAGGTAGACGTCTCCGTAGATAGATAGACTACACGGCAGACCCTCTACAATAATAATGGCATGGTGGCATCCCATGCTCACTCGTAGATCTACTCCATGGATCCAGGCTCCAGTAGCTGTGGATGAGTCTGTGCGCTGCGCCATGGACACGTAGAGGGGACGGTTTCAAATACCGTAAAGTCGCGGATAAAAGCCGGGTTTGCTTACAAGCACATCGCGGATAGAAGCCTGGAAATCGAACGGGTCAATGCATATAAGGCCACCTAGAATTAATTCGTTGTTTCGGCCTAGATCGGGTCACTTCACTCATCCGTACCAGGGTCGGTCGGTCGGGTTTATTTTTTATTTTATTTTATTTTTTATTTTGGTTACGTCCATGTGCATATATGTACATCGAATAGCTTTTGTCCATCTAGCCAGTTGATCAAATCTGACTGTAGTGTAGACAATCCAGCGCAGTCATCTGGTCATGGTCCCATCAGATCCAGGTCCCCTCCATGATCCAGGACCAGATCTTGGCCTCGCTGGCAAACGGGTCTGACGAGCAGCTCTCACCTTGAAAACTTCTGTAAATAGCGACAAGGTGGCGGAGCTGATGCTGTTTCAGGACCGATTGCGGATCGGAGATAGAAGACAACGTCATCACCAAGCACCTGTCATTTGGCTAGCCATGACCATTGATGACTGCTTCTGAGGGCGATAGCTGGACTGCTATTATTTGGGTCGCGTGTGTACATAGTCTAGTCTGTACATTTGCATCCACTATAAAAAAAAACATTCTGCGGTCGGGTGAAAAAAGACGGTCGGTCGGGTGACCCGAAACAACGAATTAATTCTGGATGGCCTAACTATTAATATAATAAATAATTATAAGCCTGTCGCGCGTAGAAGCCTGGCTTCTCCAAGTTGCCCAATTATTTTTCGCTTCAAAAATGTTCAAATCAGAGGTGGCTCCAAACCGGACACGTTTTAGAGTGCACGTCAAATTCACTCTGGGTCTGAAATTAGGTAATTGCTATCGCTCCACGACGGCCAGTATAGAGTAACAATAAGCCTTGTGTGTGCTTCCATTAGTTTTGATTGGTATGCGGTGCTTTATTGGCGAGAGGCGAGCCGCTGTTTACCTGCGACAAGAAGTTGATTTTTCGAAAGTCGTAAAACTCAAGTCGCAGTGCGAAGCAACACGTCAAAAACTCACCTGCTTGATATGGCGCTTCTGGTCATCGCAGAGCCATGAAATTTTGGCTCGGAGTATAACACATCGTAGTCTCACTGTGACATATGTTTTCTAATCAAAATACCAAGAGAGAAAGTGAATATTGAGTCCGTTCCGGTTTGCAACCGTTGTCCTATTTGAAACCGTCCCCTCTACAGTGCATAGTAAAACTGCCGCCATACCGGTAGTCAGTGGTAAATCTACGCGTGTCGCGCGTAGAAGCCTGGCTTCTATGCAAGCCCGGATCGGCCGATGTGCATACAAGCCTGGCAAAAATATCAGTGGTGCATATAAGCATGGTTTGCATACAAGCCTGGTTTGCATTGAAGCCTGATGCAGGAAGCGGCTTATGTGCTTACATGTATATAAGCCCGGCTTTTATCCGCGACTTTACGGTAGGACACCGGTTGCAAACCGGAACGGACTCAATATTCACTTTCTCTCTTGGTATTTTGATTAGAAAACATAATATTATTATGTCACATGGACACAACGAGATGGGTTATGAATATTTTAAAATTTTATAAACCTTGTTTTTGTTCAAACATGTTGGGTGTTGTAAAACGTTTCTTCAGTCTGCAAACTCCATTGCAGCGTATTTCTTGCACTTGAAGGGCTTGAAAGTGCTACGTCACAGCATAGCAACAATTTCAAAAATTCAAAAACTGGATCCACTTGGATCCAGTTTTTGTATGGATCCAAGCACATTTCTTACTTACTCACAGCAAGGTGATGTAGCCAGTGAAACTGACTGATTATCATTTGGCTACTGGGGGCAGGGTTACAACTGGTGGCGAAGTAAAAGTCACCCATGCATACGACATGAGTGGGTTGCTATGCACCCACATACTGAGGCATATTAGGGAGGTTCCGGAGTACGATTTTTCGTGCCAAAATCCGTAGAGGCGCTACGGATTTTTTATACGTCGTTTTCGAGCAGTAAAATGTTCCGGAGTACGGAACTTACATGTATGTGTTTGCCGTCATTGCCTAGGTTACGATCGCAAACACGTCACATTCCCGCGCTATGCCTTTGCATTTTGAAAATTTGTACCGAAATCAAAACTTCGCGCGGAAAATCCATGTTTCTCGTACCAAATTTGTACGCGAAAAATCTTTCTGCACCCGATGACGCAAAATCTCCATACGAAACATGGTTCGTGTGAAAGCCAGTCCACACGGATTCTCCGTGCCGAAAAATCGTATGGAGTAGTAGTAGTAGTAGTAGTAGAATTTATTATTTTGATAGGGAAGGCCCTACAGACGTTGCCGTCTTGTTACAGGGAACCCTAAGTGCTCTTTACAGAGCGAAACAAAAACGGATAGATGCTCAACCTGATGACACGAGACAGGCAGAGAATTCCACCTATCAGCGCCAAGGAAAGAAATAGAGAACATGCCATATCTAGTGGTAGCAGCGGGCAAAGAAAGTGAAAAGAATGATTGCCCTCTGGTGCGCCTCTCGGTGCAAATGGAGCACGCGCCTGGAAAAAATCCGTAGCGCCCACACGGATTTTGGCACGGAAAATCGTACCCCGGCCAGGAACTAGGCCTTGACAGATTATGCTAGCATAATTTTTCGCATAATTCCTACCAAAATCGAATAATCGCATAATTCGAGGCAAATTGCATACGATTCGCATAAAACTGAAATAATCCGCCTGTTCACATCAAATTCCATACAGTTGAACATGTTCTACAAGTACAAGTACAAGTAGATGCACCAGGAAGTCGTAGGTTTACGACTCCCTTGATAACATGTCCAGTCCACTATTTAGAAAAGCGATCCTGTCAGCTTTTCTATTATTGTGTTCACATGGCAGAAAAAACGACATCGCTATGCTACGTAAGTTTCTACGTAAGGTGCTCGGTATTTCACTTAGGCTACGTAAGTCTCTACGTAACGTGCTCGGTATTAGATCTACCAACGCGTGGTAGCCGGGTGCTGTGCACGTGCACGGCAGACATTGTGTTCAGTGCACATGCATGCAGTCCGCGGATCCGTGTTCGGATGTGCATGCGCGAGGAACTTCCTTCTTTGGAACTGCTTCTTGCATGAGCTGTTTCGGATATTTCGTCTCATGGCCTGGCTTATTTCGTTTCGGCGCTGCTGAGACCTCCTTTCGCGGAATATTACTCAATGACAGGTGAGTTGACCAGTTGCCTTTGATTCATTTGCTTGTGTTGACTCTTTCATTCAGGAAAAGTGTGCTGATTTTGGGGCGGAATGCAATAAATAATGGAAAAGTTGACAGGATCTCTTTTCTAAATTTTGCTTTTCTGCTGCCGAGCTGCGAGGCCTCCTTTTACGGAATACTCGATGACAGGTGATCTCTAAGTTTACCGGTTTCCTTCGATTCATTTGCTTATGTTCACCTTTCATTTACGGAAACGTGTGCTGATTTTATTCGGATTTAAATCCATTTTTATCTCTTTGCCCTTGTCTACAGTGTGCGAAAAACGCGAGTTCAACTTCTTGACGGTAAGGCTTATGTTAGATGTGTTGTCGAAATACTCATATTCATTGTACATTGGTACGTTACAAGTAAGGCACTGGTCAGTGGCATACTATCGTTGGCAGTTCCCAATCTGGAGGGAAAGGTTCAAGTACCAATTGACCGAGTTTGAAAAATAAATTCGCATATCAGGGGAAATCTCTATTGTGGAGAGGTTCAGTAACTTGTTTGTTTCATACGAAACAAGCCAATGGGTGCAGTCCCGTCTCGTGAAAATCTCGTTTGCGCGGGCCAAGTGCACGTACGCCATGACCCGATCTCACGAAATTTCCTACGACAGTTCAGTTCGCGTTCCCTGCAAGTTTCGCGTCCAAAGGTGCGAAGTTTCGCACTTCATGATGTAGAGCGAAAGTTTGTACGCATTTTCGTTTTGCAGAATCTCTCTAGTGACTCAATTGTTTCATACGAGACGAGTCAATGGGTCGGTGTGGCTTAGAATCTTTCGCTGTAGAAGAAATCTATTCGTATGTCTATTGGACAAATAATTGTATTCACTGGTTATAAAATAGGTTAAGACAAACTCACAGAATAAATACCATCGGTCCCTTGGTGTTCGTCCTAAAGAGGTTCGACTGGATATCATTCATACTCACCAAAAGATATGTAAGATTTTATCATTGTGGAGTGCCTTGTTTATCTCTCAGTACCTCCAACCATAGCCTTGCCCCTTTTCTCCTCAGGATCAGTGTAGTTGTTGGAACGAGGTTTTGGACTCAGCAATGTATTCGTTTACATTTTAATACATGTTTATTGTTCCTCCTTTGCTGTGTTGTTTAGACAATCGTGGACTAACAGTTTGAAGTCATTGAACTACTCCAAAAGTTGTATCGACATCAACAGGATTACGATTTCAGTTTCAATATGATGCTGGATGACCTTATCACGATAACCCATGACTATAAACCATTATAAACACAGAATCAACAAAAACATCTGCGACACGCACCTGGCGCATGGCTACATTTCTCAAATAAATCTGATTGAGGGTGGAGAAATCTGAAATATCTGAAAGGCAAGACAATTTTATGACAGAGTCATGAAATTCTGCAACAGCAACATGCACAGAATAACCTCCGTATAAATTTAAAAAAAGTATCACCACCACTGCTCACATGTTTCCCCGCAGAAGAAC